AGATCAGTACAGAGCTTAAGTTTTCACCATGTGAAAATGATGATTTTTGATAACAGTATTCTTTCTATTTCTATAGCATTTTAAAATTAGTAAAATACCTTAATATGTAAAAAACATTATTTTTCATCTTAATTCTGTGAGATAAACGGGCAAAGGATTATCTACATTTTATAGATGAGATCTGTGAGACTCAAAGAGATTTAGTTGGTCCACTCAGTATAAAATGACTATTAGTAATAGTGTCAGTTAGAATACAGGGTTCCTGACCCTTAGTAAAGTACTCTTTCCATTTATTCTCTACTTGGAAAATTATTCCTAAAGCTGGTGCCCAGATGCTTAGGTTGAATCTTGGTAATATGGTGAGGCATATGTCCTTAATCTCCTCTTAAAGGAAAGGCCTCTGGAAATGAATCACGTAGGACAAAATTAACATATATATCCTTGACAGTCTCCATTTGTTTTGTAACCATGTGCTAAGAGGGAGAGAGAAGAAAGAGTATGCATCTCTGCTGCTTTACTTAACTTTTAACAGTAATCGGGAGAAAAATTAGAGATGAATTAGAAACTGTTGATTCCATTCTCTCTGTTATTCATAGAACTAAACAAATAGGATTCGGTCCTATGTGAATGGTAAAGAGGGTTTATTTTGTTTTAGTTTTTGGCTGGGAAGAATTCGCTGTTGGATTTGAGCCTCCAGGAAAGTCTTTCCTCACTCTTGTCAGCTATGGCTTTGGGGAGGCCTAGCACATCCAGCAAAGGATTTGCCCATTGTCTCCTCAGGTTTTATATAAAATCTTATTAGAAGGAAATGTAGCCCTAATATTGCAAAGAAATGAGAATTGGGCTCTGTCTTCTAAATCTCTTTACAGGAAGTAGTCCATGTGTTGGCCACTGGTGACTTGACTTGGGTAAACTTTTTTTCTTTTTTTTTTCTTTTTTTGGTGGTTAGAAGCACAGAATTGCAGATTTCATCTCTGGTAGGTCTCTTGACACTTTGATGCATGGTGGTGTTATCCCTGAATGGAGCTTAAATACTTCAGGGCTACTTTCTGACTGGGTGAAGGGGTGTATAAAATGAGAACATATGAGAGAGTATTAACAGAAAGGTACACTTTGATTTACTGATATTGGCTCTCTGCTTTCTTGTTGGATTGATAGGCTGTCTAATATATCTGCAATGGATTTTTTAAAACTGACTTGAACAAAATAAAAGGACTTGTATTGCTTACTTGAAAGTGGCCCTTAAAAATAGTAGACTTTTTGTTGAATGTTTTCACAATTCTTTGTTACGCTACATGTTAGAGTCAAATTATGACTTGTTTGTTGGGGGCAAGCAGTTATAAACATAGACTGCTTTGCAGCTTCTTCCCTGCGTGGTTCTTGATTTTATTTTAGGTTATGGATACATGGTACCTAGAGGAGGTGAGGGACAGGTACTTGATTTTCCTGTTCTTTTTAATTTTTTATTGTGGTAAAAAAAAGCATAATAAAATTTATTATCCTAACCATTTCTAGGTGTACCGTTCAATAGTGTTAAGTATAATCACACTATTGTGCAACCGATCTTTAGAAGTTTTTCATCTTGCAAAGCTAAAACTTCATTAAACATCTCTTCATTTCCCTCTCCCTCAACCCCTGGCAGCCACTATTCAACTTTCGGTTCCTATGAATATGACTACTCTAGGTACCTCATATAAGTGGAACGATACAGTATTTGTCTTTTTGTGACTGGCTTGTTCATTTAGTATAATGTCATCAAGGTTCATCTATGTCGTATTGTAGCATGTGTCAGAATGCTGTTTTTAAAGGCTAAATGATATTTCATTTTTTTCCTGTTCTTTTCAACTAGGCTCAAGATTGAAAGATTACAGATTATTTTGTCTGGATTAAAGATGAACTAAGATGGTAGAATTATTTATTTTACTCTGGTCTTGGGACTTTTTAAAAATGTTTTTTTATTGTGGTTAAATATACATGACAAAATTTACCATTTTTAACCGTTTTGAAGTATACAGTTCTGTATCATTAAGTACATTCACATTGGTTGTGCAACCATCTTCACTGTCCATCTCCAGAACTTTATCATCTCCAGAACTTTATCATCTCAAATTGAAACTGTGTCCATTAAACAGTAAGTCCCAGTGCCGCCCCCTCCCCCCCATCCCGGACTTCAACCCCTGGCAACCACCATTCTATTTTCTATTTCTGTGAATTTGTTTTAGGTAACTCATAAGTGGAATCATACAATATATGCCCTTTTGTACCTGGCTTATTTCTCTTAGCATAATATTTTCAAGGTTAGGTCTTGGGAATTTTGAAAACTACTTTGCAAATGCAAATTTGATTTGTGGTTTCACTTTGGAAACCTGTGCTCTACCTCTTAATAGATAGCCATTTCTAGAAAAGAAGTTAAAAATAGTGGTTAATGCTTGCATAGAATTTGAATGAGATGAAATTTCTGTGTTTTCATGATCTTCCTTCCAAGTTTAGTGTCTTTTCTGTTTTCTTGCTACAACACACTTTCAGAACCTAGGTACTTTGGATATCTCATCAATTCTCAGCTCTTTTTACAAATGATTATTCGCAGTAACCTAATATTTATAGTTATCATTTGTATTCTTTGTCCTACTCATCCCTTTAAAAATTTTTTATATAATGTAATTTTGCATTGTTCTACTTACATACTTAGCACATTTAGACTGAATAGTTCTTGGCTTTAAAATTGTTATATCTTTATTTTTGTTTTTTCCTCCTTGCCTCCGTTTTCATCTTGTTTATATTTAATTTATTTCCCAAAAGCTGAGAGACAGAAGGATAATGCTGTATTTTTTCTTTTTCATGAGTATAACTTATTTCTGTATTTGGTGGAAATTTTTTTTTTTCGTTTTGTTGTTTTTTAAGATTCAAACCAACAGGTTGAGAATCTTGGTTTGGAATACAAGGCATTGGAATTTTTCAGGTAATTTTATGTACTTCAGATCATCCCAAGTAGTATGGATATGCACTGATTATAAAAGGATTAGAATATAGGATTTAGAAAAAATGTGATCAAGGGTTTTGTGTTATTTTTAAAGAGGAAGGTTGTATTTGTATAGTTTTATATGCAGATTATTTGAAACTTTCTTAGCAAGGTTAGCTCTTAGCCTTATATTGAAATAGAATCCTCTAGTATGATATATATGGAGAGCTGGTCTAACTCATACGTTGGTTTACCATTGATGAAACAAGTTAGGATGTAAGATAGTGAGGAGGCTACTTATGCTGAGCAGGGTAGAAGCAGAAAAGATAGAATAAGACTCATAAAAATCATTTACACTGAAGTTTGTGTGGAATGAAGTTAGTGTGGAATATTATACAAATATGAATGTAGAGATTGCTAAAAGAAAGTAGGGTCGCTTGTGAAAAGATTATAGTTATTTAAAGGAAAGAGGGAAGGAGTGATAGAAGCATGGCCAGAGATAAATGGACAACTATTAGTGATAATAAGAATGGAAAGTATAGAATTTAGCAACTGATTAAAAATATAGAATAAGGGCACCACAACATCCATGATTTCCTATGAAAACACATCAAATAGAGAAGAGAAAATCAGAGGAGAAATATTAAGTAGGAAGAAAAAGGTTCATGTTGCTGCATGGTATATTTGTTGTTGTGTTTTGTGTTTTGGTTTTGATCTGGAAATTTTATTGATCAGCGATTTTAGAGCCAGAGAAAACCAACTGTGAGTCTTCTAGGCCCCTTTCCTTAGAACAAATAAACTGCAAGAGACTGGGCCTCCCTGGACTTGAGCAGGTTGATCAAGTTGTTATTCAGTTCTGGGAGGCTGCCTATGGTCTTTATTGATGTCACTTAGGGGGTCTTTTTTTTTTGTAGGAACTTTATTATTTTTTTAAAAGATTTTTATTAAAATCTAACTAACATACAACATTGTATTAGTTTTAGGTGTACATCATAGTTATTCAACATTTATATACCTAAAGAAGTTATCACTGTAAGTCCAGCAACCGTCTGATACCATACAATGCTATCACAATATTATTGATTATATTCCTTGTGCTGTGTACATTACATCCCTACTGACATGATATATTTGAAGGAGTGATGGAGCATTTGTGTGAAGATTTTTCTTGGAGTTGCTAGAAATGTGAAAGTTTGATTATAGGAGGGACATCTGAGTGCTGTCAATACATAAAAGTGATGATCGGAGTCTAGTTAGCCCCTTTTAGTAGGAGTAGGCTGATAAAGAAGGCAAGAGTTAAGTTCTCAGAGGGCTAGTTTTTATTCTGAAAGTTCTTAGCCACAGGCTATATACACTTAATCCTGACCAACTTTATTACAAATACATTCTGTTGGCTATGAGGAAAGCCAGGTGAGAACATATTCTTGATGTGCAGCTTTTTAATACACAATACACTACTGCAAATAATAAGTCATTAATTTGGTTTTCATACATGAATAAGAACTTTCCATAAGGATATGTGTGGAGAGATTGAATGACTGATGTGGCAGCTCAAACCAGAGGCAAGAGAGATCTCCTGAGGGAGGATAGTGGTGGTGGTAGGGATCCTGGGACTAAATTTACTCTTTAGGAAAATAGGAAGAATTGCTTAAAGAGTTGACTGATAGAGGGATAATCCAGGAGGTCAGTGGGTAACTTGTAGAAACTAACATCAAAAGAAAAAAACGATTAGTTATGATGACAGGGAGGGAAGGAGGAATTTGTCAATCTTACATATGAGAAATCACAATTTATCGCAGACACTTTTCTAAGCACCTTGTACATGTTACCTTGCTTATTCCTCGTAACAACCCTGTGAGGTAGGCGCTGTTATTATTTCCTTTTGGGAATTCTGTATTTCAGAGAGTTCTTAGTCCCTAGATACCCTGTGCCTCCTCCTGCCCCGCAGCCAGAACTTCTCTGGAGCCAAGAGTTACAGATATCTCTTACTTTCGACAATTGTAGGTAATTAATTGTTCTTTTTCTATGCTTTATTTCCCAGGTCACAAGGCACTTAAAGCATTGTTGAGGTCATTGGTAGATCTTCAGGAAGAGCTGCTTTTCCAGTACCCAGACACTAGATATCTAGTAGGTGGAACAAAGCCCAAACCGGATAGGTAAGGAGAAAATGCAACTATAGAGTTGCTTATTTTCTTTTCATCTGAATAGTGTACTATCATGAAAAAGAATGCTCAAACTTTTCCAGGTCGATATCAAACTTAATGTTAATAAAATAGAAAGAGTTGCTTATATTAACTGGTAGCTAGGATGGCACAAAAATTGGGAATTAGGTTTTGGGTATTTATACTTAGTTGTGCCTAATTCTCTTTGTGGCTTCAGCAAAAGACTTGCCTTCTCTTAAGAGCTATTGAAATGAGTAGATAAAAGCACATTTTAATATTAATGCTTAATTAATGTTTATGAAGCACTTTGTGTTCATACCATGGAATCTGTGGTCACAGCCAACTACTTTACAGTGAAGGAAGAAGTAGTTATTTTAAAGGGTAGAATATTTTGAAAGACAGCAGAATAAACTTTTTTTTTTTTTACTGAAATTATCGCATTTGATGAAAGATTCCCACCCCTTTTGAGCCTGCTGTATATGGTACCTGCTTATTGTTTTCCCTTGGTCTTATCCTTTATTTTATTCTTTTGTAATGAATTAGTTGGAGGGATAAAAAATAAACTGAAATTTATTGAGCAACTACTATGTGTTAGAGTCAGTAATCCAGTGAGTGCAATTGGCTATATAGTTGGAGGTTGTATTACTTTCTCATGGCAGTTGCATATAGTATTGTGGTTTAATGCTGATTTTGTTGCCTACCCCCTTTGAATTTTCTTTATATTCAGCTTCTCTTCATTTGGTTCAACTAATATTATTCCTCTTCTTGAACAATTGATTACAGGAAGACATTTCCCTTATTGATTTGGGGATTAAAGTCTTAAAAGTATGAGTATATGTTTAATTTTTAAAGATTCTCTCTCGTAACCAATATAGGCCTGGTTCGTATTTCTCATAATGTTTTTATAATCTCATTTATTTTTATGGTTTGCTTACCTTTAAAAAATATTTTGAAATCCGTTATTTTTATATTTATTTGAAAAGTTACATGAGTTTTTGATTGATCTCATGAACACTCTTTTTAAATGAAAAAAAGCCATCCACGCATCTATGGTGCTATTTAAAATGTAGACTGAATAGGGAAGGCCTAAATACTCTTGACTTAATGTGAGCCTAGCTTTTTATTTGGATAATGTTTATTTACATTGGACTTAATGTTCTTTTGGTTTTCTAGTGAGGAAGAGATTTCCAGTGAAGATGAAGAGCTAGTAGAAGAGAAGAAGAAGCAGAGAAAGCCCCCACCAAAGAGGAAGCTGGAGATGGATGACTATCCCAGCTTCATGGCAAAGCGCTTTGCTGACTTTACAGTCTATAGGAACCGCATACTTCAGAAGTGGCATGATAAAACGAAGCTGGCTTCCGGAAAACTTGGGAAGGCAAGTGTTTGTTGCACGCACATGTGTGTAACATAGGCTATGGCAACCTGCAGTGATTTTAAGGAATTGGAACTACAGTTCATTTATATGATTGATGTCATGTGATAGTAATCAGTCATTTCTCTAGAAAAACTTACCGAACTCCTACCATTGGTGTTTATACCTGTCAGATTTGGGATTTTAACTTTATTGAAAAGAATATTTTATTCTAGAAATTGTGGCCTTGTGAGCGTTCAAATGTTGGAAATACAAAATAAAGAAATAGAATTTAAAGTTATTAAGAGCAGAAGTTAAGCTCTGGGTATAGGAAAATAATATGACCTACTTAAGACTTAATTATTTTTTTCCTCTGAGAACAATTACAGCCATTCACAAACTCAGTCTTTAACAGAAAGTCTCTCCTGAAAGAGGGGTTGTCTGTTTCTTTCTGACACAGAAAGATAGAGAAACCAATGTAGCTGTCTTCAGCACAGACTTTCTGCGTTATCTGACATTGGTTAATGTTGTTGCAGGGTTTTGGTGCCTTTGAACGCTCAATCTTGACACAGATCGATCATATTCTGATGGATAAAGAAAGATTACTTCGAAGGACACAGACCAAGCGCTCTATATACCGAGTTCTTGGCAAACCTGAACCAGTAGCGCCGCCTGTCCCAGAAAGTTTGCCAGGACAGCCGGTAAGAACTGTGATGCATGATGATTATGGGGAGCAGTTTCTATAAGGCTAATTAACTGAAAATCTGATCACCTACTTATAGGTATTACCTTTGGTATAAGAAGTTAGTGAAAGAAAGAGAAAAGACATTACTAGGTTGTTGAGAAACAGTATGTGGGAGGACAAAGTTAAAAAAAAAAGAGCTATTATTAAATACTTATGTGTTAATTTTGAGTTTGATATGAGTCTAGTAATAATGGAAGCATTTATAATCCAATTTTTAAAATTCAGTTTTAAAGCTGCTTCATGAGGAATGTCAGTATTGAAGCAAGTGTGTTCTTTAGGCTTTATGTTGGACATTTAGATACCTGGGAAAAGAATCCAAAATTAGACTAGTCAGGTTCTTTTGTTTAAAGGAAACTTTTATTTATAGTGGAAATATGTACTTGATAATTTTTTTAAGTTCAGAAGAATTTTAAATGAAAAGTAAAATTCCCCCAGTCTATAAATTTCACTCCTGAGATTTAACAAATTTTCATAGTTGTAACAAGCTTTTAGGTATTTGCTATTCATATATAT